AACTGTCTCTTTTTAAATTTTTTTCTTTTTTGTTAATCCTCACCTGAGGATATTTTTTCCATTGATTTCTTCTTATTATTATTATCATCATTTGTTTATTTATTTATTTATTTATTGGGGGGGGGGAGGAAGGGAAGGGGAAAGACAGAGAGAGAAACATTGATGTGAGAGAGACACATTGATTAGTTGCCTCCTGCACAACCCCCAACCAGAGCTGGGGATCGAGCCTGCAAATGAGGTACATGCCCTTGACCAGAATGGAACCAGAGACCCTTGTGAGCCGATGCTCTATACTGAGCCAAACTAGCTAGGAACTGTCTCTGTCTTTAAAAGACTACCTCTCTTATACTACCCATCTTTTGCATATCACTCTCTTAGTTCTCACTGTGCTTCTCCACAGACCAGAGTCTCTTGTCATATTTAATTTCCATTTACTCTATGGAAGCGAATGGGCTATTATCAGAGAGCAGGTGTCTTTAAGCAGTGAAGCAAGAGAATTCAAAACACTAGCAACAGCCTAACAGAAAGAACCCGGCTTCAGAATGAATTTTTAAAATTAGCTTTGTTTACATACACTCTATCAATGACTTAAAAACTGTAAATGGGCCAATCAGTATAAAGTCTTTTAAATGCCAGTCCTCCATCAAGTTTATTATAAGATAATGTTATTTGACTTAAGTAGAAGTCAGGATGTTAGGGCTTTGCACAACCAATGCTAATGCAAATGCATTTACTTTATCATAGGAGTTTGCAAACAATCCACTATCAAAAAGATTATGCATTAAAGCACCATTCACAAAGCACTGCAAAGCAAAAACCTGCTTGTTTTGTTAAGTATGCCCATACTACTCAAGAACAAACACTGCCATTCAATGAGAAAGATGAAAAATCACTCTAACTGGTGCTTGGGCACTACTATATTAGCTGCTATAACAAAATGTAATAGACTAGGTGGCTTAAACAACAAGAAAATTATTTCCTCACAGATCTAGAGGCTAGAATTCCCAGATCAAGATTCCTGGCTTGTAGACGGGCTGCTTTCTTGCTGTGTCCTCAAATGGCAATGAGAGCAAGCTCTCTAGTGACTCTCCCCACACTAATGACCTTATTTAACCCTAATTACCTCTCAGTTTCCATCTCCAAATACCACCACTTTGAGGGTTAGGATTTCCAAAATTAACTTGGTCAGACAAAAATATTCAGTGTATGATAACCACTGAGGTGTCAACTATGGCATAGAAAAACTTAAAGCTAGCCCTGAACAGTCATCATGGATAGGCTTAAAATGATCTCTGGTCTATCAAGAGGCAAGAACAGAATACACACCTCCCTTCTCCATTATTTCTTCAAATATTTTTTTCTGCTCTTTTCTATCTTCTCCTTCTGGTACTCCCATTACGCATATGTTGTTGTGCTAGTGGTGTCCCACATTTCTTCTGAAACTTTCCTTATTTCTATTCATTCTCTTTTTTCTCTGTTCTTCAGTTTGCATAATCTCTTGATCTATCTTCAAGATTGTTTATTCTTTCTTCTGTCAGTTCAAAAGCATACTGAGTTCCTCTCATGAGTTTATTAATTCATTTACTGAACTTTTCAACTTCAGAGTTTGTTTCCTGATCATCAAAGACCCCTCATGACGTAACCACCTTATGTTTCTCACCTAACTTCTTCAGTTCTCCCTTCGCTACCCTTATGGACTCTATTCCATAGCACACAGCTTTTTATTGCTGAGTATGCCATTTTAGGTATGTTTTTTCATGCTTTTACTTATGATATTTCTTCTGCCTGCCTGGAAGTGCTCTACTTCCTCATCTTCCTCCTCTATGTGGTAAACATCCTCTAATGCTCAACTTTAACACAGACCCACTGAGAAACTTTCTATATCCCCCCTAGACAAAGTATGACCATCCTTCTTATGTGATCCCAGAGAATTCTAAAAATGCTGCCTCTATGACAAAACTTACATGGCCTGAGAGACTGAATCAGGTCAGGTGAATGCAGCTTTTCAGAGAGCTGCTATGCAGGTTAAATAGTGACAATTCTCAGACAATGGGACTTTCTGAGGTGCTCCAAACCTGTTCAACCCTATCCCACGGCTACTTTGCTGCTATTTTATAGATACTACTTTGGTTTTTGAGGCTACTGTAGAGCTAGGGAGAGTGGGATGGGAATAGAGCAAATTTTTAAAACAAATTTTTTATTGATTTCAGAGAGGAAGGGAGAGGGAGAGAGAGAGAAACATCAATGATGAGAGAGAATCATTGATTGGCTGCCTCCCGCATACCCCACACTGGGGATCGAGCCCACAACCTGAGCATGTGCCCTGGGAATTGAACTTTGACCTCCTGGTTTATAGGTCAATGCTCAACCTCTGAGCCATGCTGGCAGGGTGTAACAGAGCAATTTAAACACCACAAGTCTCAGCCCTGGCCAGGCAGCTCAGTTTGTTAGAGCCCTGTCCCCCTCCACCAAGGTTGTGGATTTGTTCCCTGATTAGGGCACATACAAGAATCAACCAATGGCCCTGGCCAGCTTTGCTCAGTGGATAGAGCGTCAGCCTGCGAACTGAAGGGTTCTGGGTTCGATTCCGACCAAGGGCACATGCCTGGGTTGCGGGCTCGGTCCCCAGTAGGGTGCGTGCAGGAGGCAGCCGATTGGTGATTCTCTCTCACCATTGATGTTTCTATCTCTCTCTCCTTCCTTCCTCTCTGAAATCAATAAAGAAATATATTTTAAAAAGAATCAATGAATAAAAAGTGGAACAACAAATTGATTTCTTTCTTTTTCTCTCCATTCCTCTCTCTAAAATCAATCAATAAAAAAATAATAATAAATATCACAAATCTCTCTGTTCTGAGATCAGCCATTTTTCTCAAATGAACAGCCCTCAGGTCATTACAAGGCTTTGGTTACTTTCTAGAATTCTGAAAAAGTTGAGCTAGACAATTATTGCCAGTTATTTCACTGCTTTATGGAGGAGCGGGTTTTGGGAAGTCCTTACTCTGCCATTGTGGAAGTGTTTCCCAATAAATGTTTATTTAGTTAAGAAGAATCACATTACATGATTACACACACACACACACACTCACTCACTCACTTACAGCCTCCTGACACAAGGAAAACAAGACTTACAAAAGAAGCAAAATTGTAATTCCAAACCAAATCTAAGTCCTAATTTATGTTTCCTTTTATTTTTTCCTTATTATTTTTTTAATATATTTTTATTGATTTCAGAGAGTGAGAGAGAGGGAGAGAGCTAGAAACATCAATGATGAGAGAGAATCATTGATCGGCTGCCTCCTGCATGCCCAGTACTAAGGATTGAGCCTGCAACCCAGGCATGTGCCCTTGACCAGAATCGAACTCAGGATCCTTCTGTCTGCAGGCCGGTGCTCTATCCACTGAGCCAACCAGCTAGGGCTTATGTTTCCTTTTAATATTTACTTTTAATAGGCTACCTTAGTTAATATTTATCCCATTATTTAAAGTCTCACTACTACAGACAATTGCAAGGCCTTAGGAGAAAACATAGGAAGAATGCCTGGTTCCAAACATCCAAATGACCCTTTATTTTTAAGGGCCTTATCAAATAGTTTAGTCAATGTTCCAAAGAAATGTAAACTAAAAGTAATATGCATTTACTGGTTAGCTCAGTTGGTTAGAGAGCTGTCCTGATATGCCTCAGTTGTGGGTTTGATCTCTGGTCATAGCACATACAAGAAGCAACTAATGAATGCATAAATAAGTAGAACAATAAATTGAGGTCTCTCTCTCTCTGTCTCTCAAGTCAATAAATAAAATAATTAAAATTAAAAAAAATAATAAATGCACAAGTGGCAAAATATAAGAGTTGCCATGAATAAAGTTTTTTTAATGATTTCAATTGGAACAAACCCCTATAAATTTTATAATGAAATAGTTAGGTGAATGATGATATATTTATACAATAAGAGTATGTAGACTATAAAATGTTTATGACGGGTTTATAATATGTTCTAGCGTTAAGTAAAATATGCAAATGAAAAATTTTACATACAGTAGGATCTCAGATAAAATATGTGCACTGTTTTTAAAAAATGTTTAGTGTTGGTGAGGATGCAGAGAAAAAGGAACCCTCGTGCACTGCTGGTGGGAATGCAGCCTGGTGCAGCCACTGTGGAAAACAGTATGGAGTTGCCTCAAAAAAATTAAAACTGGAACTTCCATTTGACCCAGTAATATATATCCCAAAAAAACAGAAACACCAATCAGAAAGGATATATGCACCCCTATGCTCATAGCAGCACAATTTACAATAGCTAAGATTTGGAATCAGCCTAAGTGCCTCAGAGCAGATGAGTATTAGAACAC